TATTAGGAATTTTATAAAGTTTCAAATAGTAAATAGTTGAATTTTATAATAATTTATAAGAAATTTAAACATTATAAATATTTACAAAAGATATTAATCGGGACGGTATATTATGGGTGAAATCCTAGATATAACAATCAAAATACTATTATGAATTTTGGGTCGATATTAAATGAAGTTTCGAATATTAGAAATATTTGAATTTTATTGGAAAATGACAAAATGATGTAGATTTCACGGGACAGAGTTATATGGTCAGACGGATTTGGGGTCGATATCAATACAGTATGATATACTACAGGTGAAATCCTATAATTAACAATCAAAATATAACTATACAATCTTAAACACTAAACAAAACTAAACAAATAATATTAACAAAACAAATAAAACTTCAAATTTTAAATATTTAGTTATAAAATATCGTGTGTACCATACATTTAAATCAAACAAAACAATAGCATATATCTATAGATCATCTTAAAAAAAATTAATTTTATTATTATTTAATAAAATTATAGACCCGCAGTGTACCGCGGGTTAATATCTAGTAGTTTAATATGATTGATGTGGTAAAATGTACACTTAATTTAGTTATATCACCGAGACAACAACACTACACTATATCTTATGGTGGTTGAACCTCCAAATCACTTTAATAAAACCATTTAAAATCTTTATAAACTTTCTAAAATCTTTGTAAAGCCTTATAAAAAGGGTATAGTTGAAAATTAATAACATGTGGAAGTATTTTTGAACAAGAATATTTTTTTTTTTTTATTTTTGAAATTTCCCCAAATCTTTTTCTTTTATCACTTGCTAAATTTTCTTACCTACTTATACTTTAAATGGAGAATAGTCATAATCAAATCAACTCAATGTGGCTGAAGAATTCATCAACTACTTCGTACTCTTTAGCATATTGAATTGCCTTCTTGTACAAATGTAAGACAACAGATTTAAACAAAAACATCAAAAATTGCAAAACAAGGATTTGCTTAGTCTTGAAGAAGAGAAAAAATGAAAAGTACGAGATCCACAATAGAAGATAATACAACAGCAAAACGAAGCGTGCAAATAGAGAAATTGGGGGACATAGGAAGAAGAGGAGGTTAGTTCTTGATTCGGATGCTCCTGCTTGTGTTGGGATTGATACCGCGAGTTTCTCCTGAATATGGACCTGTTTGTTTCCGGATATCTCTGACCTGTCCTTTGCGATCAATGACTTTTTTCTCGTGCTTATTCTGCAAACAAAAATTCAAGATCCCAAAACAAGTTAAGGCAAATAAACAGATCAAAGAAACGAAGGTTGCAGAAACTGGCAATTCAAGATCGTTTACCCGATACTTCTTTCTCGGGTTTTTAAGGTCCTTGTTGCGTTGTCGGGTCAATCCTCTGTTACTCATAATCTAGGAATTGGTGGCGAATAGATAAAAAAAGAGAATCAAAAGAAACGTTAAACTATGGTGCTAAGTTGTAGACAGATGATATTTGT